TTAATTAAGCTGCAAGTAAACACCATTTTACAATAATTATAGACTTCTTTATAATTAGTGTTTAATTCTTAATTTGCATCAAAAGTTTTTCTGAAGTAGTTTTTATACGTTAGTATTTGTTTGTTTGCATAATATGACCACCAAGAGACTGTCTACTACGAAATTACTGTCTTCACTTGTTAAAAATTACTGTTTTCAATAAACTGCCTCCTACAATCCGTTTACGATTAATAAAATTGCTTACCTGTAGAAAAGATTTTTGAAAAATGACCACTCTTACTGTAAATTTCACTTCTAGTACTGAAATTCGAAGAAATTACAAATTTCATATTGTGAATTCCAAAGTAGTAGAATTGTATTCCGAAATTCGTAATAGAGTAATCACACTCGTAATGAAAATTAATGTCAAAATTCTACTAGAAAACGAGTATTATCAAGAGGATTGCCTTTAATTTTTTTAAATATCCATTATGAAATTTGAAAAATTTAAATATTGACACTTGACAGCTATCATAAATTATCAATTCTGACACTCTGAAAAATAATGTTGCCATTGCATCTCTACGAGTTACCAGTAACATTCACAATTCTACCAGTAACATTCACAATAAGGGTGTAAATTTATATTGCAGTAAAATCTCAAATACATTCTCTCTGGCAATCATCCTCTCTTGCACAAAATGTGTCTAAAATTTCAAATTTATATATAAAAAGAGACTATCAATATTAGTTTTTTTATTAAAATTGTGTTAAAGAAATAACCTTTGGCGACATTTAAACAATGTTTAAAAAAATTAAAAAAAATGCAATTATTTTTTAATTTTTATTTTTTTTGTTTTCAGTCTTCTTATAATAAAAAGTGTTATTAAGAATAACATTTTCATATAAACACCTACACTTCTTTAGCTTGCAGAAATTATATAATTTTTTTTTTGCTCATTATTTTCCATAAAGACGTCAAATGCCTGTAGTTGACAGGATGAATGCATTTTATTTTTAATTTTCTTTCTATAATTTTAATTTTCTGTTTTTAAAAAAAAATTTTTAATAATGCAAAATTATTGTATATATAGAATCGCAGGCATATAGTGTTGTATTGCAAAGCTTAAAGTAAAGTGAAAATGAAATAAAGGTTTGGGATCAATAATGCAATTACGGTTAATAATAGAAGAATAAATTAAATGAGAAAAGTTTTACCCCCAGTTTTATTTTTCTTCTTTTTTTTATTGTTATTTGGGTTTTAGTTTATCGAAAAACTAAAATGAATTCTTTTGATTTTAATTAATTTTTATATACGGTTTGTTTTTTTGAGTTTTCCGGCTTTTATAGAAATTAATTTACTAGATTATAAGGAATGTAAGGAAAATGGCAAAAAAACGGGGGAAAAAATGTTGCATTTGGAAATGAAATTGAATAATTTATATCCTTTTTTTTTTATGAAAAATTTTGCAAATTGTAAAATAAAATTTATGTTATCAAATATCCTGGGAAAATTTCCTTTCTATATAAAACTGTTACAATTTTACAAACTAATTTTTCATGTTTATACGATTGAAAATTTTTGTATAACAATTTGTTCATTGAAATAGAAGTAAGAATGGTAAAATATTGATTCGAATTTCGTACTTTATTTTCGTACAATTACCAAATATTTTGAGGAGTGAGCAGATGAGCAAGGCATGGTAAAAAGTATATGAGCAAAAAGATTTAATTTATTTATTTTTAATTCTAAATTCGTTAATTTGAAATTATTAAATTATTTTGTTACATACAAATATTAATGGAATTGCAAATTATTTATGAATATTGGCAGGACTGAGTCTTATATAGCTAGAATTTTTTTAGATGGTGTTTATAATGTATTTTATAATATAGCCTTAAAATTTCTATAGTAAAGCTAGAAATGGGAAATTGAATATCAATGATTTTAATTGAAAAATATTGTGATTTAGAATATTATAAAATATTTGTTTCCTAAAATAACAAAGTTTAGCTTTATTTTGATTTTAAGATTTAGATTTTCATAGCAAATGTACGATCGAATGGGACTTGTCCTGCTTTAACATCAAAATTTTTTAGTGTGAAACTTAAAATAGTAGAATTTTATACCTTACTATGTTGGAAACTTCTTTTTATACTCGTACACGTATGTTCGAAAGGTATACTAAATTTGCCTTACCGTTTGTAACGGTAAAGAAATAATGGTCTGAGATATAGACTCAAGTATATGTTTTTGATCAGCGTCGAATTCTGAGTTGATTTAGCTTTGTTTGAACTTCTAAATTTATATGGCTATATCTCAGAAACTATAAAAGCTGTGATATTAAAACTTCACACAAACGAATATATTAGTAGGGCCAATGTGTCTGATAAAGATCGATGAAATTACTTGGCTCCTTCGGGTATCTGCCATACAACTTCAATAGTAGCTTGGCACACACAGTATTTTGAAAAAAACAGTACAGAAATTTTACATAAATTAATACGTCAACTTAAAGTCATAGTCTGTCCCATAGTCAGTAATAGCATATTTATTCGCACATAGGACAATAAATTCGAACGGGTATCACAGAGTTTACAAGGTCAACTCTATTTTTTCTCGTTGTAATTAAATTTCTAGTTTTTATTGAATATACACCACATGAATACAATGGGTAACTACTGATTTTTTCAAACATTTTCAGTGTTATGAAATATAGATTAATTATAAATTTAAAGTACAATTAATGTATTAGAAATTTTACATAAATTAGTAACCTAATTTCGTAAATTAAATAATTAACGAAATTACTAACTCAACATAAAATACGTTATTAAACAGGAAAATTATTATTATTAATTTTTGTTGGCATTTCTCAAAATTGTGTACCAGCGTTTCTACTGTATATACAAATATATATACACTATATAGATTAGGTGCTTCTACAAATTAACATCAAGAACTTAACATTTTTAACTGGTCAGAGACGTTTATTATCTCCGGCGTGTTCCCCAACTCCTGGCAACGTTTTATGGCATAATAGTAATTTTTTTGTAACAATCTAAGCTGTCTTCATATTTAACCTGTGTATTTCTATAATAGTAATGCGCTTGTTATCACGATTTATTTCTAGGCTAACAAAAAATAACGACAAAATTAACATGTACTATTTGGGGTAAAATTGCACGACGAATGCAAATAATGAAACCAAATTGAAAAAAAAACCATAATTATAACGAGAAAAATTAGTATTTCCAAATGTACGGGAACATTTCAGACACCCTGTACATTTAAGTGAAGTCAAAATATAATTTTGTTTTGCTTATAAAATCATTTGATTTTAGAACAAATGAAATATTATGATGGAAAAAAGTTATGACTGAAAAAACTTTTCGAAAAAAAAGAAATTACAAATGTAAATAATGTCTACATTGTTAAAATTTATAATTTGTTACACAGTTATATTTGTATTTCGTGACTATTTAAAAAATATTTCTTATTAAATGTAAAATTTTCAATTTTAGTATGAAAAATTTCAATTAAAATTTTAATGTAACAAAATAATCAATAGTAAAAAAAAAATTTATCCAATTACCTATAAAATTTTTTGGATTTAAATTCGAGTTCGAAATTGATCGATTTTCTAAATCAACGACAACTAAATTCTATTCTTTATTATTTCTATACTATTTATTTAAAAAAAACAAAATCGCGTGAAATTACAAGCATTCTTACACAACATTTTGATAAATTTTGCCAATTATATTAAAAAAGAATCATGTAAAACGCGCAGAATATAAAATGGAGTAAATATTTTTTTAAATAATAAATATTTGTTTTTAATTATTTTTTAGTTATAATAATTTATAACTTGGTATTATAAAAATAATAAGTAAAATTGTAATAATTTTCCAGTAGTATAGAAATTTGGGAACAATTTATTTTTAATGTGATTTATAATTATTATAGGATTTATTGAAAAATTTCAAATTTCTCAATCTAAACCCATTACTTATTCAAAAATGCATTCTTAAAGTTTTAATATAAATGTAATTGTGTTATCATACAATACACACCATGTAGGTCACATATTTAAATTACGAAGAGAGAAAATTACTGAAAACTGAGTCACTGCAAGTGTAACATTTGCTTGAAGCGACACAATATTCGATGTGCGACATGCATCTGTATATGATATGCGACACCGGTAGTCGTAAAGTTTCGGAAAATTCAATTTTTAATTAAATTATAATATTTTATTTTTAAAATAAAATTATGAAATAAAAATTACAGTCCAAATAATTAAATTGCAATAATTGAATAGACCACAAAGGTATATACAAATCATTATTTTATTAAACAAATTATTAAGATAACAGATTTAATATCGCTATCACATCAATGTGAAATGGTTTACGACAACGACATTTAATGGAATTACAACAACGTCTCGCATTAATCTCGTTTTCGCAATGTCGTAGCAATGTAAACAATTATTGCTTTCGAATTAATCATGAAGTCTCATAACATTCATATGCAATTTTTGTTGGGGGATTAATATTGTTTGACGTAAAAGTCTCAAAGAGCAATAGTTTAAACCATTCAATTTATATTGCTCAGCAATTGAAATTGAACTGTGCTTCCAGTTGAATTCATTAGAAATACATTTAAATATACAATGTCCAAGAGGTCTTACATTTTTATTTAACTTTAATATTATTTCTATGATAAAAATTTAATTTTAGTGAATAACTTGAAAATCTATTGTGCAACGCGCGTCAAGGTTTTTAAACAAAAGAAAAAATTATAATTCAAATTTTTAGTTATTAAAAAAAATAAAAAATTGTTTGCTTTATAGTTACAGGGAAAAAAAAGCTATAGAAAAAAGTGTTTTGTTTGAAATAAAATAAAAAAATTTTTTTTATATCCTTTTTATGTAAACGCATTATATTGTATGTATATAAATCTCACATTTTTTTTCATTTAATTTTCATTGTATTTTCTATATATACATATATAGAGGATTGTATTTCCAAAAATAGCAATCAAATCTAGTCCTGGTCCAGTTGTTATACGTGAACGTGAAAAAATTCTTGATGAAAGGATAATACGGCGAACTGAAGAGGTACCATGCCCAATAACAGGGCAACCTCAATTAAGAACAGTAGAATATATTGAAAAAATTATTGAAACAGAGGTTAGAAAAAAAAAATAGCAAAAAAATTAAAGTTTTTATTTTACGTTTTTTTGGTGCTTTTTTTTCTTATTATATATACACATATTTATAGTATGTTCGTAAGTAAGGAACATTTTGTTTTTCTCGGCTGTTAGATTATTTTGTTTCTATGTCTGTTAATTGGGTAGAGTAAAATTTTCAGTGTTTGTGTTGTTGTTTTTCTTCAAACAAAATATTTTTTAAATGTTTTTTTTAATTTAGCACGAGTAGCTTTTAAGTATTTTTTTTTCACAAAAAATAATCACAGTCTTTTTCACATACGTCTTGTATTTTAGTAGATTTTTTTGTTAATGTTCCAGCAACGGAGGAAAATTGTTCTGCTTTAAAATTATTTTGGAATATAAGAATTTTTTTTTGTTATAATTATTTACACTTGTGCAGGTGCAATTTTTAATATATGTATAGGTATAGAATGCTTTTGAAATCAAAAATTTGTCTTTTTATAATATTTAGGGCGAATTATACAATCAAAGTGCTTTGTTAATTAAATGCTTTGATATGGGTGCTTGGTATATAAAATTTGAAAATTTTGTAATTTATTCACGGACGTTTTAGCTTTCTTTCAAAATAATTCTAAAAGCACAGAATTTTTGATATTTTAAAAAAAATATAAAATTAATGAGCACGAAATTTTCGGGCTGTTTTTGAATTTCGCACAGATTATTTATAACTGAGGTTTATATTAATATTGTCTTTATATAATTTCAATTTTCAAAGTAATCATTCAAATTCGACATGTCATTTTGTGAGACTCAATATTTTTAAAACTCGAATTTGATCTACTTGAACTGTAATCTAAGAGAGTTTTAAAATTAAAATTATAATTCATCTTTAATATTGCAAATGACTCATCCTCACTGTAATAGAAACCATCATATATAGAAATTATGCAGACAAGTTAAAAGTGAAAAATAAATATAATTTAAAAAAATAAAGCGCGAAATATCTAATGAAAAATTATCTGATAAAATTCAGATTTTCACAAAAAATGAAAAATATTTTAAACTATTTAAAGATCTGAACATCAGCTATTTATCAGAATTTCGCTAATGTCATATAATGTCAATGCATTGAGCGTTTCACTGCGTTCCGTTCGTACATATATGCATTTAATATTTACTATTTACGTTGTCATTTCACCATTGCACATATACATATAACAAATTTTTAATATCGAAAACACAAATAATTTTCGATTATCACTTATTCGCACCAATGTAACCACATATACTTAAGTTTATACGTAATATATTTACATAAAAGCATTTGTGACAGTGATTGTCATATGAAACTTTTTTTACTTAATTGTATACAAACAAATTGAAATATAGGAAAAAACATGAATTCTTGTTTTTCAACTCAATATTTTAAAAATAATTGCAAAAGAAAAAAAAAGACCGGGGAAAAAAATAATAAAAACAAAAATATGTCAGAAAATATTTAGTTGATTGAAACAATGGCGTGATATTGAAATGCCAAAAGTGTTGTCATCAGTGTTGTCATTGTTATTTTGTTATTTTACTCTTTTATTTATATTGGCGACTATTATATATAAAGAATTCCTTATTAAAATTGGGGTTGCCAAATTGGGAAAACTATATCTATTCAATTTTAATTGTCTTAATTTGGATTATATAGAAGAAACGTAGATTATGTTCGGACGTCATTAAATCAAAAATTAAAGAAATCGAAATTTTGTCTTTAAAGTTAAAAATTTTCAAATATTTAATGTTATGGGACAAGGCGAGACAATAATGTTTACATAATTAATAATTAATAAATTAAATTTTCTCTTAATAGTAGATGGCGCGGTTTTATTTCATTAATATCGTAAAAGGGACGTGTCTTATTTTTCATTCTCATTTTTTTTTCCTATAACATTAAAATATTTTTATTATGGCAACTCTAATTCTTTTTTTTTATGTAATATTATTTCTGTTTGTTGCAATTTTCTAATAATATGAAAATTTATATTGTTATACAGGCATAAGGAAAGATTTTATATTATTTATATTATGTGTATACTGGAACTTACATTCTATTGCGGGATGCTATAGTTGACTATAAATTATTTTAAATAAGAATTTTGTGTTCAAAAATGAAATTTTTACACGGATTTAGTTGTAATTTTTTGCATTGTTATTGAAAAATTGTGAAAAAAACATTAAGATCAGGGCTATATACTTTGTTTTAAATATTTGTAAGAATAAAGTATAATGATTTACGAAATTTCTTTCACAAAATTTTTAACTTTAATTTAGAAAATATAAAATTTATGAGATTTCTGAAACAAATGAAATTTATTTATTATAAAATTTTCAACTAATATGGCGAAAAGTCAAAGAGCAGCGTGTGGTATATTTTAACAATATAAATGAAATATTCTACAATAATTTTTCCAACTAAATATTTTTAATTAAACTTAGAAACAATGAATTTTAAAACCGCTTTCATATTATCCACCTACGAATACAATAAATTTACCCGTGTTCGAAATTTTATGGAAAAATTTTAAATTTCTCAATAATTACAAATGAAAATTTTTCTCGTGAATTTTAATGTGTAATGTTCTTTACGAATTTTCACAAAAAGTAATTACAATTTTTTTTTTTTGAATTCATATTTCTAATAAATCATAACAATATTCTTGTTTCTAACAAAAGATGGCATTAAGAAAAAATTCTCCTGTACTCATGTTAATTTCTCCCTGAAATCTATTTAAAATTTTACAAAGAAACCTGTAATTTCTTTAAAAATTTTCAATATTTTAAATATAATAAAATTAAAATTTTATAAAAATCAACATGAAATTTACCAATCTTGTCAAAAGATCAAATTATCACACGACAACACTGTTTTTAATATTGACTATTTTGTAATACATTTACATGGTGGGAAAAATGTAATGATCCTAAGTGCTTTTATTTTCTTATAATATTGTGTAGAAGGATTAGATGAAGCAAATAAATAAATTCCATATGAAATAATAGCGATTTGGAAAAAAGAGAAGAAAAATTATTTTGTTTTTGATATTTGATTCCTTGTCAAATATTCACAGTAGTAGACATAAATATAGCTATAGTACAGAATAAAATATCAAAAATTGGAAAAACAAATATTGATCCCATATATAAAAAATTCAACAAAAAAAAAAGAGTAAAAATATAAGGAAAAGGAAAATTTTTTTTCATGAAAAGTTTTCTTAACAATTTTTTTTTTTTTATTTACTGTTTTCATTTACTTCTCATGTTTTTCAATTGAAAAAGCAAAAATTTATTCAAATTTGATGAAAATTTTTTCTTTTGTTTTTGTATTTTCTCTCACTTTACTTATTACCATTCTCTTACATATCTGTCATACAATGTAAAATTTTCCGAATAAAAAATCTTCAAAAAAAAAAAATAATATTATTAAATAATCATCTTTCTTTCTCTCTCTTTCTCTGTCTCTGTTTTATGGTATGGATATCAAGAATAAGCCAAATGAAATCCAAATGAAGCATGATACACAATCATATACTATATTTAAATTACTAAGTAGTATCAAATAATATACAGGTGGATATACAGGTGTTAAAGAATATCTAAACCAAAAGCCAAATCATAATGCCGTTCATCAAAAAAAAAAAAAAAACCAGAAAATAGAAAGCAAAAAATGAAATCAAAAATTATTCCATATTTTTTTCTCTCCGATTTCTCTTATTATTTTGCTTGTTTTTCTATATCCTTTTCAAAAGATATGCGAATAAGAAGTAAAAGCCATCGTCTTTGTGACAAGAAATCTCTTGTCAAGGTAATAAGTAATAAAAAAAAAATTTCAAAAGAAAATTTTCAAGAAGCTTTAATATTATGGTTTTTGCTTTTTGTTTTGTTATTCTTCTTCTTTTTCCTTATTATTTCCTTCATTTCAATTTTGAACCTGAAACAGAATTCTTAAAAATATTAAGAGAATAATATTAAGTATACCTATATGTACATATGTTTGAAGTTTTGTTGAGTATTTCCTAGTATAATACTTATATATACATTTTTTTATATAGCAAAGTAAAATGTACAGACAGATTATATTTAATACAAAAAAAAAGAAAGGAAGAAAATGAGACAGCATAGCCTTAAGGCCTTTTTTCGGTATATTATTCGTGTTACTACTGTTCTTTATTGCGTATATGTATATATATATATTTTGTTATAAGAACTCCTTTTTTATTATACATATATTACTTATATAAATTCTTTAATTTAAAATAAATCCTGTACGTATTTTTTGACTCCTTTATTTTTGATTAATATTAATAACATTTTGTATTTTATTTTATTTTAATAAAATATTTGTGTTATACGAGTATGCTTATGATTTGAGGACACAGTGTTATACTTATTTCAAATATAAAAGCTGTATATTGTAGGAATCTATGATATGTTAAAATCTTTATTAAGATTTTTCATTATATTTTAAAAACAGAGTCTTAAATCCTTACAATTACTTATACGCGATTGAAATAAACTGAAACCACAAAATTGTTTTATAAGACTTATACATGCAACATGTTTGATTAAACTAAGTGTTACCTATTTAGTAATTTTCAAAATAAAATTTATTTCGAAATTTGGAGTTCCCGGCAGAAAATATTTTTGTATACGATATCTCATTACCTCAGATCACACTCAGTGTCATAGAGAATATGAATGGATGTAAGATCTTGAATTAAAAAACAAAAAGGTTTATTGACTAGATTCTTTAAAATTTCTGTCGTGTTTCACTTTTATAATTATTAAAATATTTTTTAATTTGTATGTATTATATATAATAGTGTTACTTAGCTGCAATTTATATGCATGATGTACGGCCTAAACGTGTACGAAAAGTTCTAATCACATAAAATTTTTATTGCATGTTGTTGGTGGTTTAAATCCTTTTCAAATAGATTCTAAAATATTTTATTCCTATTAGTTCTTTATGAAAAGTAAAGTAGTTCTGTTGAATAGTAAGAATTTTTTGTTTTTGTAAATATTTTTAACTTGGCTTTTGCTTCTCTTTTATCACATTTTAAAATAACACAAATAATTTCAACATTTTCTCTTTTTTTTTTGTGGTGAAAACTTGTGCATGAAAATATTTTTTTTATCACATTTTGCATGTGTAATTATTACCGATATTATTATTGTATTCCCTAAAATTTAATTTAATTATTAATGATAAAAAAATATTTTTAATTTTTAAACAAAAACAAAACAAAAAATTGATGGTCCGCTGGATTTAATTCAACATTCATGAATCATTTGCATTTCATCAAAATCTATGCTAAATGAAAATTTTACTTTCACTTGCTTTCATGATGAATAAATACAAAAAAAAAAAACATGATGACGTCTAGGTGGAAACATGTCGCCAAAAAATAATATCATTAGAATTGCAAGATCCTGACAAATCATCATTGGAATTACCATCGTTACCAACTCCACCAACAGCTACCCCAAGAAATAGTGATAGTGATGAAAATATGGAATCAGATGATCATGACAGAAATGAAAATGATGAAGTAGCAAATGCTTCCATAATAACTGTAAGAACTAACCCAGATAAAATATTTTTGAAAACATCATATGAAATTTATGGTGATCCAACTAAAGAAAAAAATAATTCTTCACGAGATGAATCTGATTTTCATAAGAAAGCTATAATTGGAACTTTTGGTCGTCCAATTACTTTGGATGATATTGCAAAACAATATGGTTACCGTCCTGATACAGAAGCAGATTCATTAGATTTTGATCCTATTCGTGGTAAACTTGAAGAAGGCATTAGTAAAGGGATTATACGCACGGCAACAACAACTATAATGACTACCCCTATAGCAACAATAGTTGAAGTAGTTAATCCACTTATATCAGGAGATGGAATGCCAAATAAAATTGCTGTTGGTCGTACTGCCGACTGCCAGTACACTGTGGCTAATCTTGAAGATGAAGAAATTGAAAATGAAGAAGAATTCGAAGATGAAAATAGTATTAATCAAAAAGAACAAGAAGAAGAAGAAGAAGATGAAGAAGAAGATGATGAAGATATTGAGGAAGAAGATTCTGATGATGAAAACGAAAATGAAGAAGAAGTACAAGTATATGAAGATATTATTGAAGAAGAGGAAGAAGATGATGATGAATTCAGTATATCATATGAAATAAATCCATATCAAACATCGTCAGATGAAAAACCATTTGAACGACAAGAAAAACCAGAATTATCGCTAAATGCCAAAATGAAAAATGTTTTAGAGGAATTAGTTGAAGATGAAAGAGTTAAATTGAGTTTGTCACGTAGTATGGTAGAATCTGATGATGAAGATGATGATAAAACATTGCCAAAAAATACAGCAGATGAAGTTGATAATATTTTGGGTGAATTACAAAAACATTCTGATGTGAAAATTCAAGAAAGCAATGCAGCAAATGAAAATATTAAAAGTATAACTGCACAATTTTTACAACTTGAACAGACTCCTGAACCTTTTGAAGCTAACAAAAATATTCAGTTCTCAATATTGTCGGATCATTCAAGTTTAGAACAAAATAAAAGTTTAGATCCAATGGAAGACACTGAAAATACTTTCATTTCAAAAGCTGATGCTACAATTGGTGACGATGAATATCTTGAAGTTGATTCAGATGATGAAAGTGATGGTGAAGTAGAAGAAGATGACGATGATGATATAGATGGTAATGGTAATAATAACAGTAATATAAGTAATTCATTTGTTGACGGTTGCCGTGTCTATAAAAATCCAAATGCTGATTTATCATTCGAATTAAGGCAAACATGGGAAGTATATGAGCCTACAATTCCAGCTACACCTTTACCAACTCCAGTTGATGAAGCCCTACCCACATTTTCTAGTATTCAACCTCAAATATTGCAACAGAAGCAACAAATAACTGCCGAAAGTATAGCATTAAGAGAAAAATTATTATCTGAATTGAATGTTGGTAGTGGGCGACGTGGTAGCTCCACTGATAGCAATACTAATAATACAAATAGCAATAATGATGATATTCAACAAAAACTACTCCGTAAAGATATTGTCATTACTGAAGCTGCAGAAAAAAATCTCGACAAATATAGAAACAATGAAAAGAAACAAGAACAAATCAGTACACCATTAAATATAGAATTTGTTTCAGAAATTCCAGCAACGACATCTGTTATTACTTCATTGATAGCCCCAGCTGTTCCTGATACTAATAAGTTATTTTCATTAAATAGTGGTGGTCGTATGGATAGTGCTGATTTTATAACGGAATCACAATTGAAAGAAAATCAATCGAAAATTCCAATTCAAAAAGATCATCATCAACATATTATTCTAGATTTTGAAAATTTAGATATGACAAAGAAACAAAATCAAAATTTTATTGAAGAAGAAAAACGTGCAGCACAAGAATTTTTAACGGGAGCAAAAAATATAAAAATTTTATCAAATGTTAAAAATCATGATGAAAATGATAATAGTAATATTAAATATCAATCAGATAATCAAAATATAATAAAAAATATTAATGAAAGTGATAATATTTTAAATGAATCAAAGATTGATCCAACAACAACATCACCAACAACAACAACAACAAAACAAGAAATAAAAGTTTTTAAGAAAAAATCACCGAAAACCGAATTAACTGGTGAAGAACTTTTTAATTTAAAATTAACTAGAATGAAACATCATCCAAAAGACACTATATCATTTGATAGTTATAAAGTAATTACAACAACAAAAAATCCAAATGATACACTATCAACTACAACTTCAACCACAACAACAACACGATTATCAAGTGGTGTTATTAAAACTCGAATTAAAGAACATACTGATAATATTGATAATGATAATAAAGATGATAATAATTGTAGTTTATTAAATAAAGAATCTGAAGAAAAATCTATTGTTGTAGAATCAAGTAATAATAGCTCAAATAATAATAATAATAATAATAATGAAAATGGTAATGGTAAGAAACGAAAAAAAAATAAAAATAAAAGAAAATAATTGAAAAATACACAATATTTTATTTTTATTTTTTTCAAATTATTATTCTGCTCATATTTTGTAATTTTTATTATAAATATTATTAAATTAATTTAATAATTAATTAAAATGTTAAAATTTAACATAAAATTTTTATTACATAAATTACAAAAAAATTGAAGTTGAATTAAAAGAAAATAACAATTAAAAATATTAATTAGATTTCGTACAAACGTAGATTTTTCATAAAACATCTATGTATACATAAAAATAATATTTAAAAATATATAATTATAAAATAAAATATTAAAAATTAATATAAAATAACGGTACAATTTATTTTTTTTTTTTGTATAAAATAAATATTCTATGTATATCTATAATAATTGTAATAAAAGAGAATATATAAGAGAATTACACTATACGTAAAAATAATAACAATGTAAAAATGTTTAAAATAAAAAAAAATATCAAAATAAGTTAAAAAGAAAGAAAAAACAAAAATTTCAATTTAATAAATTAAAGCATATATTCTAAAAAAAAAAAAAAATAATTTAAAAATAAAAAACAAATTTTTTGTAAAAGAAATTAAAAACATTATACAAATACAGTATATATAACGCTTTTATTATACATAAAATTAATTAATTATTGTTATATACCAATGTTATTGTATTCAATTTACAAAGTTATAACTACATTTCCTTAATTTCTTAAAAATTTTCTTACAAGAATTGAAATAATTTTGTAATTTAATTAAAATTATTAAAATAATTTCATATTCGATTTTAATTTTTCTCAAATAATTTAATTTTCAATTAATTTATTGAGAATTAATAATATCAACCATTAATTTTCAATATTATTTCTATAATATTTACAAAATTTTATTGTCTGTTTTTAATTGTTATACAAATAATTTTTTATTAATATTAAAATTTTCAATTATGTTAATTTAAATTTTGAATTCGGGGAATCGAGAATTAAAATACGATTTTTCATCAATCTCTCTCTAACCCCGTAATTCAAAAAAAAAATTTCGGAACGTTTACACATAATATCAATTGTAATTGTAATTATTATTTATTTTATTTGTTTTTGTTTACAATTGCAGTGGCTTTTTATCAGTTGTCATTTTACTAGTTAATTGCATTTTCTTATATTTTTAGGAGTATGGAGAGAAAAAGCATTATGTACATTACAAACACATGTAAACACTGGAATTAAAATTATATTTGTAATTTTTATTTTAAAAATAACATTGGTATATACACATATTGATTTTTTAATAATTTATGTATGTAAGGCTTATATAATGTATATTTTGTATTACTATGTAAATGTTAAATTTTTAAAAGGAAAACAAATTAAAAAAAAAAAAATTATAAAAAACTCTTTAAGTAATTATTAATAATTAAAATATTATCATAAATGTCATGTAGTGTCTTTTGTTTTTTTGATAGTTGTATAATCAACCAGTAGAGTTTTCAATTTAACTATAAAAAAATTTACATTTAAGATTCTATAATAATGAAAATTATAAAAAAAAGTAAACAACACAAGATCTAAAAATTTGAAAATAGAAAAGAAAAAAAAAAAAAAGATTTTTTTTTATTACATCCCATTCCAAAATATTTTTTAAGTTTTATTTGATTTTTGATTTAAAAAAAAATTTCAATAAAATTAAAAATATTACCTTAAAATAATTAAATATAAATAATATATATATATATGTTTTTTCTTAAATTTCCTTAATTAATTTGTAATAAAGTATGTAATTCGATATTAATGAAAAAAATTTTGTTGAATTATGAAAATTATTTTTATATTATGTAATTATTATTATTATTTTTTTTTTTTGTCTTATTGCATAATTAAAATGTTATAAACAAGAAGTTTATTTTTGATAGAATCCAATATTATATTTACATATTTTTTTTTATATATAATATTATTTTAAAATGTAATTTCTAATAATTTTTTTTTAGTTTTAAAATGAATTCTACTTGCAATAAATTTAAAATAAATGAAAAAAAAATGAGAAAACACAAGAATAAAATATTAAGAAAATAATTATGTAATAAACGTAAAAATTATTATGATAAAATTGTTGCATTTTTAATTTTATAATTAATAATTAAAATTTAATTATTTAATTTTAAAATGTAGGTTCCTTTTAATAAAATATGTAATCAGTAATTGTATGTTATAAAATAAAAATCCGAAATCCGAATAATCCAAATAATGCGAAATTTAGATTATACATTTTAGTAAATATTCCGAAATCCTCAGTTCTTAGATTAATCAGTTCTATAGATTATTTACTCACCAACCACATCCACAATGTTAGAAAATTCCAAATTTTATATAGTTCCTTATTACATAAAATAACAATATTATAAAATAAATTTTAGAAAAATATAATCATTAAATATTTATTGCTATAAAATTATAGTTACAATTGATTTCCCTTTTGTATGTATATACATTAGTTCAGAAACAACATTTTAGATCCCCATTTATTTATATAATATAATCACAAAAAAAACGTATTCCATACTAGTATTTTGTTTGCAATTTTCATTTTTATTTTCAATTAATTTGTTTAAGAAAAATTTATTTTCTAAATGCAAAAGTATAAATTTTATATTTTGTAATGGAATCATCAATTATTATTGAAATTATTAATTAAATGTCTTAAAAATTTTGTTCTAAAAATCCTATTAAATTTTCGTTTATCGTAAAATGATCAAGAATCTCTTAATATTATTAGCTATTCTAAGGACTTGTATTTTAATACAAAAAATGTTACACATCATACCCATGTATAAATTATTTCTAAAATAGACAATTTTTCTCTATAGAAATTTTAAATGTTGTAGAATTTTATTTAAGCAATTTCTTGTCTCGATTAAAAAAAATTGTCTTATACATATGACACTCTTGCATAAATTTAGGAGGAATCTTAAACAGATATAAAATTTTATATATTATTGTTAATATTATTATTACTGCTAATTATAAAAAACTTGATGAAGGTTATTGTCTAGATAAAATATAAAGAAACTTGGAAGGGTATTGGGGTAGGATAGAAATTGATCTATTAATATGAAATTATTTGAGATTCATTCGAAATGTAGTTTAAAAAGAGTTATGATTACAAGCATTACAGGAAATCTATTCATCAAGGTAATAAGTAAAGGCGGTTTCATAAGGTTAGGACGGCAAATTCTTAAAAGAGCTACATTAAATTTTTCACATAAGCTTTGCACTTCTAACCTAAAGAGATGCGCATTTTCAGAAATAGCCAGTAAGTTATCAAAAATCTCATCTTTCATAATTTTTAGAAATCAATTCAGAATTAAGATTACTGAAATTATTTGCCTAACTAAAATTTCAATAATTAAGAATTTATAAAAGATAATTTTTATAATGAATATTTTCAAAATTGAAGCCAAGATCATCTCTGGAATATTAAAAATATATGATAGAAATTTAAAAATACAATGTGTGTCACAAGTACTACGGCATAAATTCATATGAGCCTATAATATATGAGCGCTCATATAAGCGATAAAATTGCGCTCATAAAAAAATATTGTTAAAATTAATTATATTTAAAATTTTATTTTACAAACTTGTGGCATGGCAATTTTTTTTCGCAATGAATATTTTATGAGAAAAGAAAAAAAATATTTTGTGTTTCCGAACTAATCCTTTAAAGTTTATTAAATTAACCAGATCGTATTTTCTGTTATATTTAAAATTATTAAACATAAATTCAAATATGACCACGTTTTTTCTAGTCTTCAATAATATTTTTCATATTTCTTTTATTTTTTTTCTTGGTTTATAAGCCCACATACAACGATACTCGTACGAGTATTATACAAAATGTGTAATTTTTTTTTTTTATAGGTTTTTGTATTTTCTTTTGAAAGTTCAAAGAATCATGATGCTTCACCAATATTATGTTTTTCCATTTAATATTTTTTTCTCTTTTTTTTTTTTGCTGTAACTCTTAATCAATCAAAAGGAAAATTTAAATAAATAAAATGAAAAATGGTTTCTGTTGGGTTTATTTTTTTTTTTTGTTTTTGCATACGTTCCTACGTTTTTTATTATCCTACGTGTGTTTATTTGTGTATATAAAATTTAAAAATTATAATAATATTTCAATATTAAAAATAAAAATAAAAATTAAATAAAAAAAATATTATTTTTTCTTTTGTTTTTCTGCTTCACTTTCTTTTCGTATACACATACAATGTTTGTTTTTTTTTTTGGAAAAAATTTAGAAGGCAAAACAACAAAATGAGCTCTTCTTAAAGTATCCAACAACTTGGTTACATGAACAAGCAGCATTTCTGGAAAATTTAAGAAAATCATGAGAAGGTCGTTTCTTGTTTTCAATTCAAGAGGAAATTTTTTTATTCTTTTTTGTTTTTTCTTTTATTATTTTGTGGAAATCATATTTAATGTAAAAAACATGTAAATAAAGATAACAATGAAAATATTATGAACATGAACCAGCAGAATATTTAATATACTATATACATATATATATGCATTAGGGTAAAATATGTGTATATATGTATGTAAATGAGTGTTGCATAAATATTTTATAGATTTGAAGTTTTACTAGTATGTTTATAAAATAAACAATAATATTCAATAATTTCAAAAGGATATTATTTCACTATTATTCACCACACATATATAAAATGTGTGCAAACAACAATATATACAATATATATATAAGAATTCTGTATGTATATAAAACATGTTAACAAAATATTTGATATAATAAAGAAAAATTTTTCTATTCAACATTAAAATTATTAGTATAAATTAAAAATTAATCAAAATATCGTTTCGCATGTAAAATAATAATAATTAATAATAAAAATAAGGTTAATATTGTTGAAAAGTGGTAGGTATCAAAAAAAAAGAACAAAAACAATTTTGTTTGCGGTTAAATTTTTTGAAGAACCTCAATAAATGTGGCAATTTATTATCAAAATTTGGGTAAATTTATTGTAGCAATACAAATTTTTTGATTTTGTTGTAAATATTATATTTGTGTATGTATATGGGACATATGCGGATTACAAATTACA